AAGTGTTTGCTTAATGGATTTGTGTGTGTTTCTATGTTTGTTGTGTAGAGGGTGGATGGAGACGGAGAAGGCACCAGTGCGATTGGACCCGATGGAGAGGTGGGCCCAAGTGTTTTATGTTATCTTTTCATTTTGGGTGTTTTATTTGGCTGGTTCAAAGCAAACCAGGGCCAACCCTATAAACATGAAAAACTGTCCCTGATATGTTGAATGAGTGAATAACATAGTGACACCCTGGGTCCAATGTTTGATAAAGTTTGAATGTTAATTCAATTGTAAATGTTGGGCTGGGAAAATAGAAAGAAGAAGAAAAACAAAAACAATTTGGCATTTTAGTTAGTATAGATGTGTCAGTTTATCACAGCAGAAACAGCCACACAGCTTGTAAGAATGACCGTCTGAGTCAATGACTACTGAAGTTCCAGCGTTGATTTGTCTTCTGTTAGATTGTCCTCTTTTTCTTCAGCTCTTTTAATAGGAAAAGGTCCTGAATAATGTCCTCAGAAGGCTTTAAGCTTGTTTATAGTCACATGAGACACCAGGGCAGGGGCATCTAAGGCTCTTGATCTACTAGCGGGAGAAGCATCTATGCTCAGTGTTTGAAGTAAATGAGCTGCTCAAGACGTGGAATTAATTGTAAACTTCAACTATTCATGGAAATGTTTTAACTACCGTTTTAAAATCCCTGAAGAGAGAGTATAATGAACAGCTTGTTTTTTTTTTGTCTTATAAAAATTGTTGTATTTTCAATGCGATGGCTCAAAGCGGCACAAATCTTCACGATCAAAAGATTCCCAGTCCATTAAATTTCCATTGTTTTTAAGTCTCAGTGAAAAAGCATTTTCTGGGGGTCCATAAGAAATGTATACAGTATAATGAAATGTTGCAATTAAAACTATAAATGTGTAATTACTAGTTCAGCCCAGCCACAACTTTACCTGTTTTTTACTCGGTGCTCTCATAAAATTTATTTGAAAACAAATAGCCACTACTGCACACTGTCAGCCTCACAAGTAAATTAGAGCTAGAGGGAGGTAGCTGTTGGACCATTCAGCAGATGTTAAGAAGATGATGAGACAGACGTTTACCTCAGGCATTGGTGGAGTGTAAATATTGTACAGATTCCAATGGAGGATGTAAATTTTCTTTGATCATTGCTGGATCTGTTAGCAACTGTTAGCCAACACGTTTGCTGTATCATCTTTAAAAGGTGATGACGTTTGCTCACAACTTGTTCCTGCTGTCCATGAGTGGCCAAAGGTTATAATGCAAAGTCACATTCAAACCTTTTCACAGATGGACTCATGATTTAATTGCTTTTTGTCATTTGAGGATATTTAACCACCCAGTGGATGTTGTTGTGTTGATAATTATTGCTCTGCTGCTGTGAGACCAAACCTGTACTTTACCTCAGTCACTAAATGTCCTCCTACAGAGACAAAACATATTTTGAATTTCAGATGAAATAAAAAGCAATTATCCTGTCAGCAACAGACTGCTCCCTGGGTGACAATACAACCCAAGGTTATTGAACCTCTGGTAAATAATGCAACAGAAAATATATAGAAATCTGCAGTGTGTAACTTGCCATACATCAATCTAATTATACTTGTCTAATTAAACACTACATTTCTCATGATTGATTATTAGTTTTATTAATATTATTAATCATGTTCCTTTAGCTTGTGTAAATTAACAACAGATTCACATCAGCACTTGAAAGAATTCACTCCTTCAGAAACGTCTCCTGTTGAAGTAATCCTAAACAAACTGTAATTTTCTGTCTGTCAACATTTGTTCCATATGCAGCCATAAACAGCAACCAGTCTGCAGCTTCTGATGTTAAAACTCATATAGATTTGTGGAGATGTTTTACTTCTCGTAACATTATGCTTCAGCCTTTCTGAGACATGCGAGCACAAATGTACTGAAGTGAAAAAAAAAAATTGGTTCAATTAGAAATACATTTATCAACATTTTACAAACAAGAGTTCAGTTTTGTATCCGTCCACACGTTTCTCCTTGTGGTGTTTTTTGCTCTGCAGCCTATGGATGAGAGCAGCCAAATGAGTGAGCTGCCTGTCAAAGTGATCCAGACGGAGACAGGGAAAGTCCTTCAGGGAACGGATGCTCCTAAATCCAGCCAGCTGGAGGCCTGGCTTGAAATGAACCCAGGGTGAGTATGCTCCCCTCTGCACAGACCTGTCATCAACCTTGGGAAACTTGGGAAAGGAATTTCCCAAGTTTCTTGTTCAAATGCACAAACACTCGCAACACTAGGGCTCCCAAATATTTACTTTTTTATTTTCTCTATGTCTATATTTCTACATGCATATAGCAAATCAATACATATATCTTTGGGAGCCATAGTGTTGCGAGTCTTTCTGCTTTTTATTTAGTGTTTCTTTTATGACTCAGCACCTGAGTAAGTGATACGTGTGTGTTTGCTGACTTTTTCTGGACTAAGTTTCTTGCTACATAGTTCTTCATGCTGATTAAGTGCTTGAAGAAGCATTACTTTTATGTGCACGCTGTTACTGATAAACCCAGAAGTATATTGCCACTTCAGGGAGGGAAAACAATACTGGAGTGCAATGATTGATTTACCTTCACTGCTGCAACCAGAGAAAGGTTTGGAAGACACCCTTTCCTAATCAGAGTCAAAATATTCAAACAGAAAGATAGATAGAAGCTTTATTGTCATTGTATAAAAAACACAACAAAACTTTGTTTGCAGCATCCCTGTACAGCAGCGTTTGCAAACGAAAGGTTAAATATAGCCTGAGTGGATCCCTTCAGTGTAGCTGCAGACAGAGGACTTAGGATTTTCTTTCATTTTCATAACAAAGTACTGAAGCACTAAATTGGAAAACAAAAAATAGAGACAAACTATGTGATGTTGAACAAATGAATTATCTCTTTTAGTCTGAAAAAACCCACCAGGAACATTTTCTTACATGAAAGGTTCTTTTGAGTCAAATATATTCTTTAGGCTTTTCTCAACCTCATCCATTCGTACTTTTGATATTAGGCATATTGGAAATATGTGTGTTTATTAATCACATTCCTTGCACTTATATGGGGTAATAACAAAGTATCTCATGTTTTTTTTTCCAGGAACATTCCCACCAGTATTGTCAACATGTTGTCTGTTACTTAGAGAGTCATTCAATATGACAAGTTTTCTACTTTTTTAGTTTCAAACCCTTTGTTTCTGTTTGTCTTTGACTGAATTATCTGCATTTGTCTTTTGAAGCACTTTTCATTATCAGCAGGGTTTAGACAAATAAAGATTTGAAGTTTCACAAGGTTGAGGGAAGAATCCAATGCCTGCACGTGTTGGTACCTTGCTGCTAGTAAATTTTGCTGAAGCTCTAAATGTTTTTGAACATTTCTCTCTGTTCTTTCTTTTTGCCTTGTTTTCCTCTTTCAATAACCAGGTATGAAGTCGCCCCTCGGTCAGACAGCGAAGAGAGTGGCTCAGAGTACGAAGAGGAGGTCAGTGACTTTCACAATTATGAACTCCCTCACAGGAGACTTTTCTCTCCTGCAATTGGTCAAATCATGCAAATGTTATTTAATCTAAATTAGTGAACATGTCAGACCCCCCCACCCCACACACACACACACACACACACACACACACACACACACACACACACACACACACACACACACACACACACACACACACACACACACACACACACACACACACATCCAAATCCACCAGGGGGCTGTAGCTGTATTCACTTTAATACAGCTGCTTCTGAACATTTCATTTGATCTCCATCAGAGTTACTTACGTGATCTGTCTTTTCTTTTATTGCTTTAAGCCCGCGATCAGTCATGTTTTATCAAATTTGCCTTAAAGGAGGAAGAGGATGTTCCCAAGGCAGAGGCAGAGGAGAAGACGTTAATCACTCCAAACAGAGGGGATGAGACTGTGGTGGCTGCCGAGCACGTCATTGAGTATGGTGTTCCTCCTCACTATCGCTCAATCTCAGAGATTACCTTGGCAGGGCTTGTAGTTCTCTTGTCCTTGAATTGCATCAGTTAGAAACAAAGATGTACTTGTCATATTGAAGGTGGAATCATTGACTCCTGGCTCTTGTTAAGCCTTGAAACAAGGCAAAATCAAAACATTCTAAAAAAAAAAAGGCATCTTAAACACTGTTCAAGGGTTTTTTATACTCTTCTTTTTCATGTTCAGTTCTGTCAAGCAGGATGTGGACGATGAGTACATCGTTCCTACAGGACAAACCGAATCCCACTCTTACTACGGCGCGGCCCACGCTGTCATCGAGCGAGTGGAGAAGCAGTCATCGCTGCTGATCAACGGCACGCTTAAACATTACCAGGTACAAAGATTCACGTACACAAATAGTGGTTGCTCTCATTTTTCAAGACTGTTGAGACAACTTTTTGACATTTTTATTGCTCACTTTTGCACGGAGTTTGTTCTAAAATCTGGTTATATATCATTTTTATATATATTGCAGTGTTTCCCCTACCATTATATTGGGGGGGGTGGCCCGCCCCCCCCCCACCCCCCTTGAAGGTCAAGAAAGACCTTTATTGCCTTTATTGTGGAAATAGGATAGTGGATACAGTCGGAAATCAGGGAAAGAAGTAATTTAAGGATACCTTTCAGATAGAAAAGGATAGCTGTCATTAAAAGTAACGCATGAACACCAAGGTTCCAAAGCTGTAAACCTAGGGGAAACACTGTATTGTGTTTGCAATGGCTTTCAAATTGAATGTTTTGTCAAACAACCTTTTTTGATTGATGAAACAGCCAAATGCAATTATTTTTCACATCATTTATTTTCTATTTCCAACTAAATGAGTCTTGAATGCAGAAGAGCATTTTTCGAAACCTTCCTTCAAATTTTGGATAATAGCTTGTCCTTGAATTAATCAGCAGGAACAGTTTTTAAATGGCTCCATCATTTGAGCCTTCATACTCCAGAGCAGGAGGGAAGCTGCTGTCATGGATTTAGATCATCTTCTGTCTGCTCAGCAACTAAACGCTCAGTCATTCAATGAAGTTTAAAGACAGCTATCTGCTCAGAAGAACAATTCTACCTCATTATTTTCAAGCGTGACACTGTAGTCTTGTCTCTGAGTGTAAATGGCAGTGAAAGATGGTTTAGTACTAGAGATAGGGAACTGGCAATTGGATGCTGCCAACATTTTGTTTCCTCTCTAACAATCAGGCTGCTGTGGAATCACTCCTCTGATATAAGCTATAAATGAGACACTGTGGCAGCTCCCAGAGGAACTCAGCTTTAGAATAATTGGACAGCGGTTTGTGTGTAAGAAATAAAAATGAATTGCCCTCAAGAGTTAATAGAAAGATACAGATTTATACATGACTGTATTCAGTCTATTATTACTTATTAATTCAACCCTAAAACCAGCCTGTTTACAGATGAATTAGCTCCGCTTTCTGCTGTCAGGCACAACATGCAGTTGGTAATTGGTTGGCAGTTTCCTTTTCGGCTGCCTGTGTCCTCTTGGCCTTTTCCTGTTTCTCTGTACTGACTTAAGCTGATTGTTTTCTTCAAGCCGCAGGGGAATAACACAGTTGATATTTTGCTACCTTGTCTGAATCACTTGGGAAATAAAATCCCAAAGTGGCAATGCGATCTAATAGCATTTTCAGAAACCAATTTAAAAGACATTCAATTTCCTTCTTTTGATGAATGTAACGGTTTGTATGTTTACACCATCACAGGAAGTGGAAAAGTCCTTTTAAAATGATTTTAGATCGTTTCAACTCCTTTCTTTCTCTCTTACTGTGCTTACAGTATAACTAAGTTCTTTTTTTATTCTCAAATGCATGTCTGGTTTTACAAAAACAATTACATGAGAAATATTAATGGAACTTTTTTGATAATCAAATAATCTCTATTCATAAAGTTCAAGCAAAAAGGCAAAATATCCTTTTTTTAAAGTTTTTTTTGGGGTTTATGCTGATGTCCCCCCCCCATCTTATGCCTCCTATACTTTACAGTAGAAGACTTGAATTAACACCAAGATTAAGATATTTGAGACTTTGCAGAGACAGGATATCTTATTACAGGGTCACTTGATACTAGACTACAACAGGACTCCAGTTGAAACAATTTCCCATCCTGCTCCTGGTAGAAACTAACAAGAAAAAAACGAACTTTGAGAAGGAACAGAGTTGTGCTGTGATTTGTCTTGAAGCTTGTGAAAATGGTGAGCAGGATTGAAAAGGCAAACTAACACACTTTCAGACTTATTAGAGGCCGTTAACCATGTCATGCTGCAAATTCTTTCATGCACACAGGATTTTTTAACATATCAGCAGTTGTGTGACCTCCTGGTCACAAGCAGCACCTCCAACAATTCAGCCACCTGGTTTTCTGGCTTCTTTTACCAGTGCTAGTTAGAGCCCAAGTACTAACTGTTGACAGGGGTGATGTCATTGAACATCATGATTTACATCGCCCTAAATAAATGAAGTTTAGTGGAAACATGTTAAGATGGAAGAAAAAACTTTCTTAAGACAAACAGGGCTGAGTTTTATGATCACCCAAGATGACACAAGCCCTCCCAGACTGCAGCAAAACGTTCATAAATGTATTCCAACAATTGTCTGTAATAGTGACAATGCTTGAAAAAAGTTGATAGGTGAACAACCAGCATTATGGGATAGTAAATTGAATCTCTCCACTCAGACAAAACAAACTATTTGAGAATGTCAAACTGACATATTTCATTATTTGTCTGATAATTATTTAAGGGACTGAATGGCAGTTTAATGAATGACCACAATAATCATTATGTGCAGCCCTATTTTAGGTAGCAAGGTGATCATTATGGGATAGTACATTGAATGCCAAGAGTGAGACAATCTATATTATCTTATAATCAATCTTAAAGAATTGATTGGCATTTCAATCAAGGACAATTATAGTCTTTATTTGAAGTGTTCTTGCAATTTTGCCTTTAAGGCTGTCACAACTTCAATTGACAGGACATATTTAGCAAGAATGAGCGGAAGCCACCTTAGCCCCCAGGAGAGTTTTTTTCTCCATGAAAAAAAAAATCCTTCTCTTTTCAGATTGGCATGCCTGCCCTTTAAACAAGGTGACATTTCTCCTCTGAAAACATTTATTCTTTTTGACATGCAATTAGATTCAATGGGTAAATTTCCCATGACAGTTTCCTTGAACACAACTATGTTTTGATCTGTATTTTTTAAAGTATTTCATGCCCTGCAGGAGAATATGAAATAGCTTTTAAATGTGAAAAAACCTAAAGCATGCTTGTATTTTTCTCTGATATCTAGGTCCAAGGGCTGGAGTGGATGGTGTCCTTATACAACAACAATCTAAATGGAATCCTGGCAGATGAAATGGGGCTCGGCAAAACAATCCAAACCATCGCCCTAATCACCTACTTGATGGAGTACAAGAGGATCAACGGCCCCTTCCTCATCATCGTTCCTCTCTCGTCAGTACCCTCTCAGCTTGCATCCATCAGTTATCACACAGTGTTATGACGTCCTGAAACATTTTCAGCAAGGGAGCGATGTACACACTTCAAAATTACTCTAGGATATAATTTTAGATTAAAAAAACACCCTCCTTATTAGTCCAAACCACAACATGGAGCTATAATAGAGAGCAGAGGAGTCAGGAGTCCCATCCCTGATTGGGATACAGATGCCAGTAGCAAGCAATTTAACTCAAATTATTTTCAAGTGTCAGGTGTGAAAAACTCATCTGCCTGCAGAGAGGGATGAATCAAAATTAACAGCAACCACAGACCGTCTCAAGAACAGCAATAAGTTATTAGTCAGATAACACCGGACTCAGAAGGGCTGTATTTTAGCTTTGGACATACACACTTTAAAATAGCTGTGGTATACAAAGTAATTATAGAGAAAATGAGGATTTTAACATATGACTGTCAAGAAACCTAGCCTATTTATTACTGCATTATCAAAACTATTTTTAAATAATGATATGGATTTAAAAAAGGTGAAATCTAAAACATGGAAAATAAATAAAGTTATACAATGCACAATGCAATAACCGCAGGACACATGCTCATCTGAATTTTTAGTCTTTCTGGTTTCCCACAACTTTTACCAGAGGAAAGCAATGTTCTATCATTAAAGTGTAACATTTCTAACCTGCCTCCTTCTTAAGCTTTACTGTCAGCTTCTGGAAATTGTCAGAATTATTCAGTATTGCTGTTCATTTTTCAAACCATCATGAATCTACAAGGGTCCCCGACATTATATATGTCTTGTGTGTTGGAGACTCCCATTCAGCAAATAAACATTTATTATTAAGTGTCTCCCACAGAATAATGGGGTACAGTGTAGTGTCTGTTGAAATATTTAAAATAATGCATTACCTTTATCCTAATCCTTTTTATGAATTTATGTAATTCTAGGAAACCTTAATTTAGTGCAGTGTTTCTCAGCTGGTGGGGTCTGGACCCTAAAGTGGGTCACAGGGCCGTTTTCAGTGGCTCTTGAAGGTGTGCATGGAAGCAAGTTTGATTGTAAAATATGCGGAAAAATTTGGGTCGCAATTTTTCACGTAGGCGACAGTGGTGGGTCCTGAGGATCAACCAGTGGAGGAATACTGATTTAATGTTTACTCCCAAACTTTTTTTATTCTCTCAACACATGCACATACACACACACACAATTGTAGTTGGCATCATTCTCCCACAAAAATGATAAGAAAAAACAAGAATGCTAAATCTATGTGTGGGAAGCACTGCTGAGAAAAATAACCGAGCCTATGAACTAGTTTGAGCTACTGCTTATTCTCATAGTGCAGTGATATGAGGCAGTAGAGACAAGGAAAATGTTTGTGTTGTTTAACTTAATATGGAAACTAGAGCTTTTATTCATGGCTGTGTGTAAGAAAATAAAGTTAGGCTATCTTCTATTGTCTACTATAAAGTTGTGAAATGTTCTTGTGGGAGCAAACTAAACTTACACGTGCCATCAATATCTTTGAAAATATTTTAGGACTCACCCTTACAACCCTTACTCCAAATCTCTGTAGGAACTTTTATCCTATGGTTCAAGTGAGAAAGATAAAGTTCGGTTTTGGCTGTTTGAAAATCATGAGAAGAAAAGAATATGGCTCTTAAATCATTCATTCATCTTACCGGTAAGAAAGTATGATTTCCCTCGCTATTTTTCTACCCTTAATCCCTTCAAATTCTTCAAACACAATCCACTCAAACCTTTGCTTTGAAGCAACAGGAGGCAGGCTCTCCAGAGTGGACCGGGGTTGTAGTTGTTTCAAATCCACTCCCTGTTAAAAGCTTCAAAGTGGAAAATTCACCTGCGTCATTTCACCTTCCTTTAACATTGCAGGCAATTTCACCCACTTACCTTCCGTAGATTAAGATTGCAGGAGGAAACTGTGTGATGTAACGCCCACGTTTACATTTTAAAACAATTTTTTTGTGGCTTTGATCTTTTCATTATTTATGACAGATGCATTGCTTCTAGTAGTTGAAGTAAAAGATTTAAATTAGAGCTCTGGGCCACTGTGTTGAATTTTCTTTTTTAATATGCAAAGTGAACTTATGTGGAGGAAAGCTTCACACCTGCCCTCTGTCATTCAGAGACGTGTGTTGGGAAATCAAAGTTAATGGGCAGAAGAGATTGATATGCCAACGGGGGCTGAGTTTTTAACAAAGACCTCTGTAAGAAAAATCTCCAAGTGAGCGCAGCAATCAGTTTTAAGTCTTTGGAAAGCTATCGCACTTTGACACCAAAAGGCATTTTCTTTTCTCCTGATGTTATTCCAAGACGTGTGGCTCAATGTGCTGTACTCTTCAATGAGCTCTCTCTGTGTTATTTTATGTTACTTAAGTTGCTCCTTCCTCTCCATGTTTGAGAGTCAGAGTGATTACCTACTTGCACCAAATTGATATCCGCTTTCTTCTATGTCAACCCGACATGTCAATCAATCAATCAATCAATCAAACTTTGTTTGTATAGCACTTTTCATACAACAAATGTATCACAAAGTGCTTTACATCAACATTTAATCAAATAGCAACAACATGACTCCCTCCCGCAGCCCTATCCCACAATCCGAAAACTAAGGTAAAAATAACTAGATAAGAACAGGTACTGAGGAAATGCTATCATTTATTCTAAATGAGGAAACACAGGAGTTTGAAAATGTAATAAAACTAGATGAAATGAGATTCAGTTAAAAGCTCTACTAAAAAGGTAGGTCTTAAGTTTGCTTTTAATTTTTTTTACATTGTGTTCTGCCCTTAGGTCTCCTGGTAAACTGTTCCACAGACGTGGGCCGTTGTAATAAAAAGATGCCTCACCGTAGGTTTTAGTTTGGACACGTGTGGTCATTTTATGCTTGATTTTTTTTATTTCCAGGACTTTGTCTAACTGGGTCTATGAACTCGACAAGTGGGGACCGACTGTGGTGAAAATCGCTTACAAGGTAAGACGAAACATTTTTTCTTTCTCATGTAAGATGGTCTGAGTTCATTTAACTTCCTCACAACAGTTTTTTTCTCTTTGTGTCTCCTCCCACATGAAAGGGCACCCCTGTTTTGCGCCGTGGGCTTGTGCCTCAACTCCGCAGCGGGAAGTTCAATGTCTTGCTGACCACCTATGAATACATCATCAAAGACAAGCACATACTGGCCAAGGTAAAAAGAGATTCAAGCTTTTTCCTCATTTTTATTTTCTCATTCGGCTCTTTGTTGCATTTCTATTCAAAGGTTACTGCAGAGAGTCAAGCGGTCTCTTTAATCCCAAGTCTACAAGTTAGGCCCAAAAAGTCAACCATACATTTTTAACATTTTTTGACATCTTTGTGAGATCGTGTCTCTTATGTTATATTTTTCTAATCCTTTATCTAGTCTAAAATCTAATTTCCTGTAAACTCCAGGGACCTGTCATGTACCTCATATTGAAAGTTCCCCACAACTCTGAAATCCACTTGAGGTTAAAATCAAACCTTTTTGCCCAAACTTTTTTTGCAACGTTAATGCAAGTGCCAGGGTTTTAAAAAATGTGGATTTTCTTAGCAGTTGCAGCACTCTGTGTGAGCTGTAATTGATTTATCGACTTTTTGGGCAGATCTGGGATTAAACATTGTAGTAGTCAGACCTACATGTAGAAAGATGATGATGATTTCATGCAGTCTTAGCTATGCTTATTGTATTTGGCTTGAATGTTAAATAAGAGTCTGTTTTTGGTGTTGAATGTTCAAATGTTCTGGCAGATTCAAACATAGGTGCTTTATATGTCATGTTAAAAGTTGCATTAACGACCACACAAAGTACATTGGGAATACACAGGAGGTGAAGTAAATAAGAAGAATCAGTACCTCTTACTTGCGTTCACTCTCTGAAAGTCATTTCTTTGCCCTCGTGATTTTAATGTTTATGTGTTGGTCCCTGCGTATTTTGTGCAGTCAGCCTGGGACTTCATTAAAACAGATCACTCAAAATGTTTAGGTTTTGATGTGAAGGACTTCAAAGAGCCGGCATATAACTGACTCCCAAACTCACCAGTACAATCTAACTCTTGTTTGTCTAAAGACTTTGTAGTGTAAGCGTCACCTTTTAACAGCAGCATCAGTAGCAGCTTCAGTTTTCTACAAGGGTCAGACAAGATGCACTGTGGCCACCTGCTATAGGCAGACTGCACTGACTGCAAGCAGATGAGAAAATAACCCTACTTCTCACTTTATTAATTACTGCATGAATACACATTTTCTCATGGCTTTATTGTCTCAAAAACTAGTTTGGTAATTTATGTGGCATTTTAGAGTCAAAGACAGGATGAACCAGGGTTTCATTAAGTGCCTGGCTTCCTGTGATTGACAAGATGCTAATTCCTGGATGGAATAGGCTTGTTTTTTTAAGTCTCTGGTCAAGTAAACACAGGAGAATCACCTGGAATTAAACACATTTACTAACATGAATGACTAGAAAACAATGGCTATAATAACTCCTGTGTATACATGATGGTGAAAGTGACTTTAAAATTGTGCCTAATGCGTTCCTTTGTTTCCCAGAGTCAGACTTTTATTCTACAGTGAAAAGTGTTTATATGTTTGAAAAGAGAAGGAATGAAAGACTTGCAGAATGAATGCCCCTGTTTCGGTCTGTTACTACGTTTTATTAATTCTGTCCAAGCTGCAGAGAGTCTATTAAACATTCAGCAGCACTAGGCTGAAACAAATGTTTCATGTTTCATGGTAATTTGTTCACATATTTAAAAAAAACTGCACGCACAAACAGGAATTATCAGAATATGAAATAAGAGAAGGAATAGAAAAATCTTGTTTGTATTCAGCAGTGTTGTTTACCCTGAAGGTACTCGCAGTAGGAAAATATAATGTTCTAAACTGGAGCTGCACCTGAGCTCTGTTGTGATCAATATTTCAAATTCAAATTCAAACATGGTTCTCTCCGTGTGTTTCTCTATTTCAAAGTGTAGGAGCAAAGTTTTAAAAAAGTCTTCTCCCATACACAGATTCGTTGGAAGTACATGATTGTGGATGAAGGCCACCGCATGAAGAACCACCACTGTAAGCTGACCCAGGTACTAAACACCCACTACGTCGCCCCTCGCCGTCTCCTCCTCACCGGTACTCCGCTGCAGAACAAGCTGCCCGAGCTGTGGGCTCTGCTCAACTTCTTGCTGCCCACCATCTTCAAGAGCTGCAGCACCTTCGAACAGTGGTTCAACGCCCCGTTCGCCATGACAGGAGAGAGGGTAAATACTAGCAGAAACAGCCTGGATGTAAAGTCTGCTTTCCAGTTTGTTGAAATTATTTTGAAGTGGACAGTAATCATACAAATGGTTCTAATGGTACAATATCTACATCCTTATTTACTAGCACACTGCCTTTGTTTCACCAGTCGTCCCAAAAAAACAAACAATGCCAGAAAAAATAATCAGGAGGAGTCAGTCAAACAAACTGTTTATGTGGAATTTCAACAATTGGAACATATCTCCTATGTTATACTGTATATTTTCCAGGTGTTTTCATTGTGGCTCTTGTTGTTTTATGACATATCCCTTTGACATGTTTAGGTTGACCTAAATGAGGAGGAGACCATCCTTATTATCCGGCGTTTGCACAAGGTGCTCCGCCCCTTCCTGCTGCGCAGACTGAAGAAAGAGGTGGAGTCTCAGCTGCCAGAGAAGGTGAGATTCAAGCTGAATATTTGTGCTCAGGTTTGATAAAGCATGATTTAACATGTAGCAGGGTTTGCAGTGTAGAAACACATTGATGTTTCATGAAGGTAATTCATTTTAATTAGAGTAAATGTACTATATTTTAAAGTCAGATAAAGTAAATATGTTCATTTAGATCCAATACAAATATAATTCACAGTTGTGAACCTTAAATCTTTTTGCAGTTTCATTCATTACTACATGAGTCTAGTTCTGTTATTTAATTCATGATCACATAAAGCTGAGCCAGACAATGAACATTAGTATTCATGCTCTCGTTTAGCACACTTTTTAAATCCAAACTTTGTTGGCACTTTCGTCTACAACCTTGAGTGAAACACCACCCTACTTATTCAGCATATATTAAAGGTTGTAGACTTAAAACTGCTGAAACAGGCAACTTTCCATCTTAAAATGTTAATTAAAACACACTGATGAGTCCACCAGGTCACTGCTGGGAAGCTGCTTAAAGAGGAATGTGAATCAGTGTGTGATAAGGATCAAGGACTATCTGTTCACCCTGCCAGGGAAATAATTCATTTAACAGTATAATTGTTTTCAACTCACCTTCTGGGTCCAACTCTCTTATTGTGTTGGGCTTTCACTGGAATTAAAGCAATTTTGGTTATTATATCAACTCATCAGGGTGCTGAAGCAGAAGTCATTCTAATTAAATGATGAACAACATCAGGGTCCTATTCCCTTACAGCTTGTTTATTTTATGATGATGGGAACTCTTCTAACAAATGGTGTTTCCTTAAAGCATTCAAACTGAAGATGCTGAATGCAGAACACACTTGTAGGGTTTCAAGAAATCTGTAAAAAAAAAAATCTTTTTGGGGCTTCTGGCTTCACTAGAGAGACAGGAAACGTGCAGACATCCTCCTTCTCTCCTCCTTCAACCTCAATGTATTTTGTGTTGAACATGAACTTCAGAGTAACTTCTGCCGTTGGCAGTATGTAAATCAGTCTATGAACTTCCCTTATCCCACTCTCAGCCACCAACATGAATTCCAAACAGCATTGACTGGAAAGTTGAGGACTTTTTTTTTTTTACTGCAATTTAAGTTTCAATGATATTCTGAACACAAACTCAAAATAGATGTTTAAGTTTTTGTATTTCTTGAAATGTCACCATTTGCCTTTTTTTATAACAAAAAGAGGTTTTGTTAATATTTTTAACAGTAGTTTACAGCTTTTCATTAAATAAAAAAAGGTTAGCGAGTCGGCTTGCACTCAGAAGTGTTTACTAAATTTATTTCCAATGAAAATTGTTTTTATGTCCCTCTTCTCTGACCTTAAAGTCAGGTGGGCCGAAGGAGCTATGCACGTCAGTCGTGTTGGCAATAAAAGCCAATTAAAATTGGCTGAAGGGCCTTTATTTACTTCTTATTCTAATTTACACTAATAACACTAATATGAAAAATCAAATTGAACTTCTTTGGATATTCCATGGAATTTACCAAGTGTACTTATCTCTTTCTACAGCTGTAGAAGTATTTCACATTAGGAGAATTGTAGATACGTCTTTGGGAGACTTGTGCAGAAACTTTCAAGCAGTTGTAGCTTTTTAAAATCAACCATTATCAGTCAAAGCAGGGTCCATATTCTTTCATCATGGTTTATTATTATATTAGATTTATGAATGTAATAATTTGTTAAGACTATATCAAGGTGGGAGCATACTGTGTTTTTCTTTCACTCTATTGCTGTGTATATTCTGCTTGTATTCTTTGCTGTAAAACCTGGAGTGACTTTTATAGGCTGGGTCTTTGTAATATAGCAATAAGTAAGGTCTTTTACCTACTTTTTGTAATGTTAAAAGACAAAGAGTAAGGTATTTTAGAAACTGATGTCAACTCTTACAGGCTCTCGGCTGAAAGGACTCCTGGTCTCCCTGATGCATTGTGTTTGTTGTCTTTCCCTCAGGTGGAGTATGTCATTAAGTGTGACATGTCTGCCATACAGAAAGTTCTGTACCGCCACATGCAGAAGGGAATCCTTCTCACTGACGGCTCAGAGAAAGACAAGAAGGTAAACACATCGGGACCCCTGTGGCTCCACTGTTGGTCTGGGCTTTGTTTTATCAACGACAAATTGAGTTGTTAGATCTGATAGAACAGCCATATTCACAGATTGCTGCGGTTTGATATCAAATGTTCCCTGAGTTTTGTTTCATAGACTGAGTTGTCTCCAATATATTCTTTTTATGTACTGTTTAATGGACCATTAGTTTTCCAAAGATGAAAGGCATAATGCACATTTTATTGAATTTCAGAGCCTGGGTCTGGACCTTTGCACTCAATTTAGTTTTTAGAAGAGCAGACTATTTTTACACCACCTTAGGATGCAGGCTGCAAAGGTCTCCAAACAAATTAAAAATAAAGGATTAAAAATCTTTCAAGTTTGAACCTACAAAACTTGAGTTTGTAAGAGTATGTAATGAAACTGAGCTTCTCCACTATTTCAGGGCTACTAACGACACATGCAAATGAAACAATCAATAATTTATGATAACAATCCGTTTACTGACAATGGGACATGTTGGATTACTTGTGATGACGCACGGACAGATAATCATCTAAATCTGTAACTCCTTATTATGGCGCTTAAGAGCGAGAGTTTCATGTCATTGATTAGCTGTCCGACTGCAACTGTAACGTTTTTAGTCCACTCTCACTGCTCTTGTCATGCTGTTTTTGGTCAGAGCTGGCAGCTGTTAAAATACAAAAGGCTATAAAAAACATTATACAGTATCTGCCAAGCACAAGACAACAAACCAACCCTCTTATCGGTAAATGCCAGATATTTTTGTCAAGAGTTGGAATGGACTTAGAGCAGAACTGCAGGAGATCAAGTATTGACCTTGAACAGTCCTTGAAGCCAGAAACACCACTTAAAGCAACAATATTTAACTTTTCCACCTTCTGTCGATGTAATAGCTCAATACATTTCAACAGGGAGAATGGCGTTTCTCTATGTCCAAAGCAATCGCCTGTTTACTGCACTATATAACTTTGGCAGCCGAGGTCATCTCACAAGAAGTGTGCATGGCCTTTATGGCACTAGTTCACACACAAGCCTTCAGTTATTTAGAGAAGCCAGTTAACCCGTCTCTGTACAGTTTGATACAATGGCTGAGGCAAAAAGGATGAACAGGGTGACAGATGAAGCTAAGAAAAAAAAAGAGAGAGTGGCCGAGTAAGAATAATTAATCCATCAATAAATGATAAATAAATATAAATAAATCCATCGAATGCAAAAAAGCTGTCTCTTTCCTTGTCGACCTTCAAGTTAGCTTCATACATGTGGGACCTTACAAACCTACCTCAACTGGCATAATAAATTACCCTCTCCAATGTAGACATTTGGCCCCGCCTTTAGACATTATGGTAACAGTTGAATAAACATATTCCAATCATGTCGTCTTTGCCGGCTTCGCACCATCGACTTGTAAACAAATGTTTGTTGTCTAAGAGAAATAGACTTAACAACACTGTGTGTTTTACCAAAGTGCTGTTTAACTCAAGAGACCATTGGTCGGCGCCAAAGCCCACCAAACCAAATCTATACATATTTTTGCTTTAAAATGAAGGATTTTGTTGTTTAGTTATAACTGGATGTGTAATTAAGCGTTTGAATTCTTTCATGTATGTTCTCACTTCTTGCAGGGGAAAGGAGGGGCAAAGACCCTGATGAACACCATTATGCAGCTGAAGAAGATCTGCAACCATCCATATATGTTCCAACACATTGAAGTGAGTGCTACTCAGATCACTGGAACTGGCTTTCTGAGTGTCTTGACTGCTGACCCTGGAAATATGAGACTGATGTCATACATTTGCCAGATAAATAATCATCTGTTGATTAGTATTTATCACTTCACTGCTGTAGATATGTTTTGAAAGTTCTGCTATGTCCCTTAAAGTTATCATATAACATGAGTAGATCATTTTTATTAAGAGCTAATATCCTAAAAAAGTAACATTTTAATTTTGTTCTTTTGTCGAGAGATGAACTTACTAAACAATCTTAACCATTAGGATTTCCTTGTCAATAAACTGATTTCATTTCAGAAGAAACTGATTAGCAGTCAGTCTCACGAAACACAAAGTTCCTGTCATGTGTATTTGAAAGACAGCTTCGAGAATTGTTCTGAAAGTGTCTCCCCTGGGCAGCCTCTTTGAAATGCAGGAGATAATTTCACATCACTTCTGATTTAATCCAGTAAATGTCTTCTGTCGCAGGAATCTTTTGCTGAGCACTTGGGCTATCCGAATGGCGTCATCAATGGGTAAGCGTGAAAAGAAAAACAAGTTAGATGAACTTTACACATCAGGACTTGAGTTAACTATATATTTATATATGTAGTGCTTTATAAATGGCAACCAGTGGCAGGACTTTAAAACAGGAGTATTTTCTCCTTTTGGACTTTGTCAGCACTTGTGCTTTTGTATTTATTGTAGCTGAATTATTGTAATTATTGTGAGCGTTACAGTAGTCTAGCTTGTAAGTTATGTAAGTGTGCATTAGTCTCTCTGGCTATAATAACCCGAGCTAGAACTCTAATCACCTGACCTTAACCTTCCTGGTACCTCTACCAAGCAACAGAAAAAAATATTGTTCCTGTGTATTGTTTGCATTCAGTGCAAACACACACACACACACACACACACACACACACACACACACACACACACACACACACACACACACACACACACACACACTCTCATTTTGAAACATAAAATCAATTGAAGATTGACACAGCTAGAATTCTGCACTCATGGACAAGAGAATCTGAAAATTAAAGAAAGAAAGAAAGCAAGAACCCCTATGAAAGATTTATCAATGAAGGGTGAAGAAGACGAGGTTGTGAAGGATGCTAAACTACAAGCGCTCATCACATCGTTTTTCCCAAATGTTTGTTGCATGTCAATTTGTATTGATTAGTAATCGTTTTTGGGGCCACAACATGCTTCTTAATGCAATTCTTTGAAATAACGTTTAAGAAGTGAGATGTTTAGGGTTCTAGTAAACTAACTACCTTGTAAGAATCATCCTCAAACCAGGCCTCTGTTTTGAGGATGATTCTGTAGTACTAAACTGGCTGTGCTAATGGTTGTCGACACAGTAGGGGGGGTGTCTGTGAAGCCAGTTGTAACAGACTGAAACACACTAATTAAAAATAACGAGTTGTCCGGTCTGTTCATGTAGTGGAGTAAAAGCAATACTATCGATATCACAAGCTGTTACCACAGTTCAACAGTACTTAGAAAGTATGTGTTTTGCAAACAAAAGCATCATATTCTTATTCCATTAAGGCTGCGGAAGATATGCAGGACTGATTCTTAGATTTTTAGCTGCTAAAACCCTTTGAAACAGCGTCTTTTTCGGCTGAAAATAACAGGACTTGAAGAAGAATGAAGAAATATCAGTGGTGTGGTGGTAGAAAGAAACAGCCTTACAGACCTCTGTTTCAGTTTTGATAGAGAATTGTAACTTTAACTGAAAAACCCCAACAGGCTGAACAATCAATTTATCAGTCAAACTTTCAATAGAGCAAATTTTATCTCAGACAATTTACAAAAGAACATATTTACACCTTACACTTAGTTATATTATTTACAAAGACAACATTAATGCCCTTGATGTGCATTATTATTTTGTCATGGGCAAGGCTATGTTCATTATTTTACATATCTAAAAATATATTTTTTATTTGATTTCAAAGTAGCCAGTTACATTCTACTGTAGATGGTAAACACTCTAGGCCTTCTTAAACATTGCCTCTTGAGCTTTAAAGTTTAAAGTCCCGTTTTTAGTCACTTCTCTAAAAACGGGACCTAAATGGGACCTAATGTATCACTGCAGCAGCCTGTGGAGTGAATACGATTTTCGCCCTGTGTCTGTCGCAGTCTGTTGACATTCTCTTTCAAATAACGTGTGTTCACCTAGGTGCCTTTAGTGCTTCCATTACACCAAGAAGCAATGTGAAATCACACACCCTGGGACGTTCTGCCTCCTTTGGAATCAGTGTTTAAGTACAAAGGCAAAGTGATGGCGGAGCTTCATCAGAGCTTGGGAAAAGATGGAATGAAAATAATTTATAAACCAGAATACTTTGTCCATTTTGAATTGATTGGATATAGTCATAGGTTCATGTTAGATCAGATGTCTGAAGCAATAGTCTGTTATATATAACAGTATGCAAAATGCTAAATTTGACCAATCAACAAAAACATCTAACAGCCTAGTTTGAAACGCATATTAGCATTTTCATTGTTATCTTGTTAGCATACTGATTCACGCAGAATGGCTAACATTGCTGTAAACGTCTGTAATAAAAAATACAAAGAGTTGTCACTTACTTTTCCAAACAAGAGCCTTACTCTGTGATATTGATGGGGTAACATAGCATTATTAATTATTCATTTATAAGTAATGAGCATTTGTGTCATGTTTTGTTTGTTTTCCTCCCACCAGACATGAGCTGTATCGAGCTTCTGGAAAGTTTGAGCTCCTGGACCGCATCCTGCCAAAACTTCATGCTACAAATCACAGAGTTCTACTTTTCTGCCAAATGACCACTCTTATGACAATCATGGAGGACTACTTCAGCTACCGCAACTTCCAGTACTTGCGTCTTGATGGTAAGCTCACACCTCTAACTATGTTTAAATTTTTATTATCTACAAATCTTAAAGATAATTCATTTGACAACTTAAAACAACAATATGCAACTTTTCCACTTTAAAAGTAGTAGGTTTTAAAATTAGATTTATTGAATAACACCTTTCAATAGAGAGAACGGCGACTCTACCATGTCCACATTGGGGGGGGGGGTCTCAGGAGGCAAGACATGATGGTAATAGGAACGACACAGAAATGGCTGACAAAGCAACTGAGTCCAACGCTATACAATGCAATTTTTTTAACTGAAAGTATATCAGTGCTACTAAAGTTTGACATACTCACCAGTCAGACCAGTCGTTTGCTTATAGACTGTGGTAGTGCGCTGAGCTCAGGTTATAAAAGCCATAACCCCCTTCCACTCAGTCATGGTGAATTTTCCTCAATATTTCCTGCTGCGTCCTGATATCCCTTTACCCCAACTTCACGCGGAAAATCTCTTAGGGGACTTGCAGGAAAAAATTCCAGGTAAAGTCGGAGTGAAGAATTCAGCTGTTTGCAATCACACATTCAGCTCACCCTGGTTTGTAAGTGTGAAAGCAGCATTTGTTTTCTCCTACTCAGCATATTTGAGTTGCAGAATGTTTCTCCATAATAACAGCAGGGCTCCACAGTGTGAGCATTTTACTGCCTATGCAAGGAGAAACGTGTGTGTGAATATGACTTATTATTTTGGTGTGACTGACTCTGCTCTGACACCAGGGTTCACTTTACACTGAAGTTATCTGAGGAGAAGTTAACAATTCATTATTGGGCTCCTATTGAAACCTTATGAAATATGCAACATGATATTGAGTCTCTTTTCTTTCATTCCTTGACCCCTGCTGTGTATAAGTGACTAAACAGTAGCTGAAGACAATTCTAAAGTTTGCCTCCAGACACATTACAAAGATGAATACAAACACAAAACAACTTTCAGTCTAATTGGTCAGGAAAGGGGGGCGGGACATGTGAACTTTCCTGACAACACTACACTTTGGACCAATAAATCAAGATAAAGTTCACGCAGTCTTTATCAAAGTTACCTTCACAAACTCAGAGCGACTCCTTTTGTTGTTTCAGGAACAACAAAGGCTGACGACCGAGCAGCTTTGCTGAAGAAATTTAACGAGGAAGGGTCTCAGTACTTCATCTTCCTGCTCAGTACCAGAGCCGGTGGACTCGGTCTCAACCTGCAGGCTGCCGACACTGTTGTCATTTTTGACAGTGACTGGAACCCACACCAGGTACATCAGTATGTTTATTTGTATTGTTGTAAACTATAAAGATGATACTTCTATGCATGGTGTAAATGCATGACTGGTGGTCATATTGAGAGTTTTTGGTAAATGCCACTGATGAATTCAAGTAAACAGTTGTATAGTTTTTTTTTCTTCTATTACCTAAAAGGAGTGAAGGTACCTCTGAAGAAGATCTCTTCTCTTCAGCCCTTTTCCCAAGCCTGACAACAGAACAACTCTACCAAAGTCCTATTACTTTCCAGATTTGTGCAACATCTGTCACACCAGCCCAGCGCCATGAATTCATTAGAAGCACTAAATGCAAATGAGATAAACTGTTGCTGGACTCATTTCTTTTATAGTACACATAAAACAGATTGAGCGAGAAATCATTAAATGAGATGCGATGTCGCCCGCTCTGGCCCCGGATATACACCTAACTATGCCCACTGACTTCGCTAGCTTCACAGTTCTGATTATGGAGTCTCCTTGTTTGAGACGTGAAGTGGTTGGTGAGGAACCGTATGCTTCGATTTTCGACCATGCTTCCCTCGGACAGTAACCCAGCAACCGTTGGTGTGCACAGTGTTTATAACACAGCACTGTTTAACAGAGTCCGTGTGGAGAAGTTTACAAACTACATCAGGCTGTGGGATGACAATGATGATGAGAAGTAAACAGCTGCATGTGGTGGCTGGCATTCCAGTGTGCGTTTGCGTATGTTGGTGTGTCTCAGCGTGCTCCCGCGATGCTGGGTCATGCAGTCAGCAGAGGAGCAGGCAAAAGTAGCTGCAGTTGTTCAAATGCACTTAATACTCTTTTTATACATGAATGTTGGATATGAACATTTACCCGCCATGTGGCGAATAGCCCTGTGTAATTTACTCTCCAAACAGAAAATCAACCCGCATTTGGCGCTTGGCGGGTGATAAATTTGGACCCTGTTTGCATGTACACAGCTAAATTTAAAATGGAACTGATGCAACATTTTTGGGCCCGGAAAGACACAATGATAATCCTTATAAAAACATACTAAGCTTAGTTTGACATTAAATCCAGGTAGATACTAAAAACGTCTTCTATCTATTTAAGTAGCAGGTTAACACAGCTCACTGACACAGTGAGGGATAGTTGACCATCATATCTGAGTATCAATGCTTAACTTTGTGCGGAGTTAAGTACTGTTGTTGCCTCTAGTCAGCTTTTATTGATTACAGGTCAGCCAACTGAACATGTTAGCGACATAGCCCCATCTGACTTTTTAGTATAATGAATCACTCATTCTAAATCCTTTTGTTTGAGATAGTCTGCCCTGTGGTTGGTCTAGTCACAATTGTGCAAAGCAAAGAAAACCTGAGCATCAGTGCCCATAGTAACTTTTAATAGATAGATACTTTCTCTATTTGTATTCTAAATGCTTGACTAGACACAATCACAGTGGTAGAAAAGTTTTTGTGGGATTTAGGATTGGGAACACAATACAGTTGGTATTTCTTGTCACGCAGGTGCTGAACCCACCTGCATGTTTCCAATAAGATGCATGTTGTGTGTGTGTGTGTGTGTGTGTGTGTGTGTGTGTGTGTGTGTGTGTGTGTGTGTGTGTGTGTGTGTGTGTGTGTGTGTGTGTGTGTGTGTGTGTGTGTGTGTGTGTGTGTGTGTGTGTGTGTGTGTGTGTGTGTGTGTGTGTGTGTGTGCTTTGATTTGTACCTACTGACGGGAAAAAATGTGTTTTTTTCCAGATTTAGATTCTATATTACTATGTTCCTTTTTTTCTAAAAATTATAAACGTTTATATGACATTTTAAAGATGAAAGATAAAACAAGAAACACCAAAAACAAAAGACCTCATCATGGGGGTAAATCGTTTAAATATCCCTGATATATTGTGTCAAATGTCCATTTTGGTCCAAAGAAAATAATCAGGAGGTAACTTCCTGTCAACTGTAATGAAAACATTTAAGTCTTTGTAATGACTTTATAATGAGCAATGAACAGTATCACAACCTTAAGCTAGTATGTGTTACAACCAGTGGCAAGGTTTTGACCACAACATGAAAAAGTCTATGATTCATGCCTCTACCCTTGATAAGTGTATAATTATATTCTATTTACTGTTGATGCAGCTGAAATGATCTCGTTTATCTTTTGGCTGACTCCAGGACCTTCAGGCTCAGGACCGGGCTCACCGCATCGGTCAGCAGAACGAGGTGCGTGTCCTGCGTCTCTGCACCGTTAACAGCGTGGAGGAGAAAATCTTGGCAGCCGCCAAATACAAACTAAACGTGGATCAGAAGGTCATCCAGGCAGGCATGTTTGACCAGAAGTCCTCCAGCCACGAGCGACGTGCCTTCCTGCAGGCCATTTTAGAGCACGAGGAGCAGAATGAGGTAATTTTATTAATATTTATCTAGGAGTTAAGGGCACCTGAGGATTGAGATCTGGTATTTGTGTTTAATCAGACATTTGCATATAATGAAAGTAGATATGATCAGTGAGCACTTGTAATATCAAATATATTTGTAAGGCAATGTCAGATATTTTACTCGTATTTGATCAAATCTGTTTGCAGACTGATTTGTTTTGAATGCAACATTACTGGTTCTTTTTTTTCCTTTAAAAGCTCTGACTTGGATGTTTTAAGAAGTCTTTTGATGTTTTCCTTTTTCCAAATTGCTGTAGGAAGAAGATGAAGTCCCCGATGATGAGACCCTTAACCAGATGATAGCCCGCAACGAAGATGAGTTTGAGCTCTTCATGGTAAGAAAAACACTTGTTTTTAGTAGATCTAATGGACTTCTAAATCACTGGTTAAAAGTCTTCAAATATTTGTTTACCAAAGAGAAAATGTGTAACAGTTGGTAGTCCTACTTCTTCATTATTCTTGTCAACGTCTATCAGTGCTTTAGAAACTGTCATACTTAGCAACAACTGTACCCAACCAGGGGCATCTTTCTATAGTTAATGATTAAATCGCCATGGATATAAGACTCAGATACACCACACAATTCACAGCTCAGCACTTGATAGTTTTACACTACGGTACTCTGTGAGACCATCTGTGCTTGAAATGTGTTACCATCTTTTTTGATGCATCCAGCTCACATTGGCTGCTTCCATGCTGAATAACTCTCTTAGTAGTAATGAGATACGATGACAGTCACCAGGCTTGTGTGTCCACTCAAACGAGTACATGCTAAAGACATGGAGGTACTGTTTCACAAAGTGAATTAAGAATGCAAACACAATAAGGCCTGATCATGTAGGATACATCCACCTCATGGTTTGAGTACTGATTTCAACATATGTTGTAAGTCATATAACTTCAGGTTTTTACAAAGGGAATGCTATTCACCCTTTGTGTCCAGTATGAGTCCATCTTAAGGGTCCTTTAGAAACCAATAGTCTTACAACAATCTACTGATCTGATGTTCCTTACGTTCTCCATTGTAGCGTATGGATATGGACCGCCGCCGGGAGCATGCGAGGAACCCAAAGCGAAAGCCTCGTCTCATGGAGGAGGACGAGTTGCCCTCTTGGATCATTAAAGATGATGCCGAGGTTGAGCGGCTCACATACGAAGAGGAGGAGGAGAAGATGTTTGGGCGAGGATCACGTTGCCGCCGGGATGTGGACTACAGTGACGCACTGACTGAAAAACAGTGGCTACGGGTAAAGTATAAATCTGTTGTTTACAAGAAATTCTATTCTGCTTTTTATATCCTAAACAGTAATCTACACAGCACACTTTCCTGCCCTGCCACTGTAGATTTGAAATGAACCACTCCAATCTCAATCCATTACATCGAACCAACCTCGGAGAAATGTAAGCGCATGTATAAGTAGTGCAGCGTGTCTGCTGTGATTGAAAATCTTCTTTTCTTTTCCACTTGTTAACTCCGCTCTTCTGCAGGTAATTACAGCAATCTTGTATCATTTACCATCTGATTTGATCCGCACAAACTCCTTCAGTGTAATTAAAGATATAAAGTTTTTCCTGCTTAACAACTATTGGAACGCGAAACTTCTTTGTCATTCAGTCTTCTCTATATAGCCATTATATAATCTCACATTGTTTATATTCAAGAGACTGCCAATAACCTGCAGTTTAATTCATTTTTCATTTTGTATCTTTATTCTCAGACTTTCAAATTGAAAAAGAAGTTTGTTGGCCCTCCAAAGTAACAACCAAGAAACTTGTTTATTCTTTAATGTCAGTCAGTATTAATCGTTTCCTGACTACTCTCATATCCAGAGATTTAGTTTTGGTCAAAAGGCTCAGTAATCTTTATCAGAGCCACAGTAGTATATATCAAACACTGACCAACTGGAATAATCAGTCGACCTGTCGGTTCACAACCATGACTGGATTTGAAGTTGATCTCAGACTATAGCTAACAGCAGCTGAGTCACCCACAACAAACAAGCTTTGACACACAGTACATGTCGCTGTGGAAGATCCGTTTTATTGACTCGGGCTGAGGTGTTGCGGGGAAACAAGAATAGAACAAAGCTTTGAGACCAAGGTGACACATGTTTGGAGGTGTTAGCTGTAGTTGAGGGAGACTCTTATTAAAAGTAGATAATTATGTAGAGACCTGTTTGCAAAGCTTAAGAAATTAAAAGTATTCAACAGAGAATATCTGAGGAAGCTTGACAGCCAAAGAAAAACACCACATCAGGTACAGGACTTGCTGCTGGTGTTTAATTCGCCTCGTTATTTTGCCTTGAAATTGTAAATGTGATTACACAGATGGTTACTAAAATCAATTACATTTGTTAAGAAATCCACTTAATGTGCGATTAACTGTCTGTTTTTTGTCCCCAGGCCGTTGAGGATGGAAACCTGGAGGAGATGGAGGAGGAGATCCGTCTGAAAAAGCGCAGACGCAAGAGGCGTCAGGACAAGGACTCATCGAGCAGAGAGGATGGGAGCTCCAAGGCCAAGAAGAAACGAGGACGTCCACCAGCTGAGAAACTCTCTCCCAACCCCCCCAAACTCACCAAGCAAATGAACACCATCATCGATACAGTCATCAACTACAGAGATGGGTAAGGACATCATTTACACCTCGAGCTAAAACAACCTGTAAGAGTTTCATCCAGATGCGAGTGAATCAGATCTGGTCAAAAGGCCCCACACTTTACCCAATTTTTACATTCATATAAAAAGATGTAATTCTTTGAATTACAATGCAGAAGTCGTTGAGTATTATTAGTCAAATACTCACTCCTGCTGTGCTTAATTTGCAACATGACAAAAGTATTGTGTAAACTTTACAGTCTGTTATTTCTCTACAAAGCCAGCTGAAAACCACTGGCAGGCTCATGTTATCTTATCTTGTCTTATCTTATCTTGTGTTCTGAGAGTGAAAAACGTCCCCATTCACAGACTACCTTCAGTTGTTAATTCGTCAAAAACCTAAAAACCTCTGTTGAGAAAAATGATCGCTCTAGCTCTTGTAGAATGTACGCTCGATCATTTAAACAGGATTTTTGGGAAAGCGATCACCTGTGTGTCCGCCTGCAGGAGATCTGTTTTTAGTTATGAGGCAAAGTGGGCTCACCTGGCTCTTTGCAATATTTAAAAAGTATGTCCCCTGTGGCCCAAATGCACCTTAAATAGCATGAGCCGATTCCAGACACTTACCAGTAAGTAAAGGTGGAACACTTTGTACCAGGAGCTAAATATACTCTAAAGGGCCTTTCCGATAGGACGCGGTGGGCACTGCATGCCCTGTCAAGCCCATTCATTGTGTATTGTGTTGCTCAACTCAAGAGCGTATCTCCTCGCCGCCGAGTTGAGCGCAGCGCAGGGTCGCGCTTGCTGTTCTTACGCGCTGCGCAGAAGTTAAAACATTTGCTAGTTTAGCGTTGTGCTCCCTGATGTCACCTCCGTGCGTCCAATAGGAGGGTAGCTCAGATCACAATAAATGTTGTCTCACTTTCCTGAGCTCTAGTTTAAATACCTACTGGGAAATCGGCAAGAAAGAGATTTCCAACAGTTCGGGCGTACCAGGTGTGTTACTTGTATTGTGTGTCATGCCCGTGAAGCAGTCATTTTAGCGCTGCAGCTCCTGGACGAGCCTAAACCTGAAGTGCTCTGATGAGTTCATCCAGGGATTAAAGTTGTCCGTCGCTACGATGCTGCAAAAATCTTTTTCTTTTTTTGAATGTTAGAATAGCTAGATTTTTCCTTTGGGGGAGAATCCCCCCAGACCCCCCTAACTTCATTGACTTTTTCATACTTTAACTTATTCCAATTTTTTTATAGAACACCTGCGCCTGTTACTTTATATAGGCATAAAATTCACTTGACTGTAGGTCAAATTTGTTAAAATGAAGCAAGCTCATATCTGTCAGCCTAGATCATTAGCTTCAAAAAAGAAAAACATGTTAATTTTATTCCTAAAGTAGAAAACACCTCTGTTGTTTTATACCTTGACAATTTTCAGTCAAATTTTTTTTGTTGTTGCTTTAATCCCTGTGTCATGAACACAAACCCTCTTTTTCTTTGCTGCTCGACTCCCCCTCCGCAGCAGAAGAAAAGTTGGGCTTTTTTCCCTCAATAGTGGACACAGAGGTCTACATAGTGCTGTGGCAGAAGCTACTTTCCCAAGCTATTTTCCCAAGGATTTTCTCGGTCTCCTAGCAACGCGCACTGTTGTTTTTAGCTTGTGTGCGCTCTCCCCTTTTGCTTTGCGCCCTACTCTGCGGCGACTTCAGCCCGCACTGCGTCCTATCTGAAAGGCCCTTAACTATTTTGTGTATGAAGGCATAAATGATTTTCATGAGGGCCTCTACTGGTCTGGTTTGGTGCCTTTTTTTTAAAGATGTACTTTGAGTACAATAGTACAGCACAGGTTTTGCTTTGATTATCCAATCGAAAGCACAGATTTGTCCCTGGACAGACATGAGGGCATGTCTTTGGAAAGAAACAGTGTGAAAACATCCTTGTCTTCTTAAAGTCTAAAAGTCCTTAGAGTTTATTTTTGTGTGTGTGGTTTATTCCGTTGCGTCTGCTTTTTCTTTCTTTTACCCATGTGCAAAGTTCTTAGTGTGTGTGAGTGTCAGTCTCTGTAAAATGCACTCGTGCATGAAAGAACATGTGCTTTTGTGTTCCCACTACCAAACTATGCACTGGCTCACTAGTTTGTAGGAGCTTTTCCAGGAAACTGCAACCTGCCTTTCCAAAGTCAAATTCTTTCCTCTCCCAGTTACAAGTTGTCCCAGAGCATCTCAATCAAACCTTGACACTCCTTTCTCTAAACTAGACTGGGATATCATCCATTTTTTTCTATCCCAACACTTCATGATTCCTAACTCTGCAGTAAGACAAACTAGCTCTCAAAACTGCATAGAGAAACATATGAAACCAGCATCAGTTTCCTCAAAAAAAAAACAACAACAACATATTAAGGCCTAAGTGTGTAGAGATTTCTAGTAAACAGAGTGAACAACTGAGACTCCTTTGATGATCGAGCACAGATGTTGATGCTGTTTTAAACCATCAGTTATTTTACCTTCTTACCACCGCAACCCTGCTCAGTTACAGACTTTATGATCATATTTCTTTTAATTCCAGTGGTTTTCAAGCAAGTCAACAGTTTAGTCTGTTTCCAGACGTCGCAACAACCGTAACGCTGGGCTGAAAGGCAACACACTTTATACATCAAATATGCGAAAGCCCATTTTAAACATACCAGCAACCTCTGTGGTTTCAGCACAGTCTGCATGGTGAATTTTTAGCCCACAGCACGTGCACAGCCCAGAGGCACCACTGTGGATTCTTGATTGTACAATGTTTGAGTTTTTCTACACTAAAATCAGTCTAGACTTCTTAGCTGCTGCTGTTATAACCATTAAGTGGTGACCTATAAATCCTATTGTCGAGTTGTAGTTCTTTAAGAGAAATCCTGAGGATTTTTAAACAGGTCAAATCTGATGTTTAAGAAATTAATCTATTGAAGGGATATGCTAGTTAAGTCAACTAAACAGTTAAATTCCATCACCCTCGCTAGTCGGCACCAGTACTAGCAGTTTGTTCCTAGAAATGCTCTTATTTTTATCAGGGCTGTCACCTTTAATGCATTAATCCTGATGCCATTACATTGTTGAAATTCAACATTTTTTGAAAGTTTCAGCACTCTTATAGAAGCATAGCATGCTAGTATGAGAATTTTGGTTAACACTTCATAATAACAACACACTATAGCATAAGTAGAGCATCATTAGTTAATAATGTATTCACAATCTATAAATCATCTTTCCTAAAATTAATACATGTTTATGTGTAATACATCATGACAGTTATAAATGTTTCATTTTAATTAAAAAGCTTATTTTTGTGAGGAATGAGGCTTAATCTACACTTGATAAATGGTGAGTTAAGCATTTATAAATCAACCATTACATCAATTACAAACCTGTTATTTTAGTTCTTGATAAGATTATTTGTTACGGTACGTCAAAGTAATTCATTATCAAAATATTTTGATGTACATTCATGCACGTGTCCATCATGTATTCATACAAAACTAAGTTATTTACTTTCTTTGCACAGTCTGACTCGTTGCTTCTTCGGTTCCTCTCTTACTTTTTAAGGGCAAGTAGCAAGAAGAAGCAAACAATTTCTAAAATGTAGAAATAGAAAACAATCAGCCCTGGAAAAGAAGCTCTTTGAAAACACAGCAGCGGGACCTCAGTGACTGATAAAGTCA